GTCTCTGGATGGTTCAAATGTCTCTTCAGAAACTGAAATGGCTTCTGTCATTTCTTCTCATAGATTAAATCAGATTCCATCTGACAAGCCTCCCAAAAGATAAAAACTAATCTGCAGAGAAAACCGGCTGCAGAGGAGCCGGCTGCTTCCTCCTAGGAACATGAAGAGGTGAACAGAGAGGCCAAGCCTCCTTCTACTCCCTCACGTTTCTGAATGATCAAAATCAAGGGCAACTGGGAGAAAGAACAACAAAACCAACACACTGGAGGTCAGGGAGAGATTTTTCATTTTTTTACTTTTCTGCCTTTTCCATTTTTAATGCATAGAAAATGTATCATTTGCAGAGTTTAAATACCCTAGAGAAAAGATTACGTGGATTCAGATTTTCAGGACAGGAATTCAGCAATGTGAAACTCAGGAGGAGAAAAATCCACTGCTAGAGCCGTTTTTGTGGGTCTCCACCCCTGGCCCATATTTGCACCCCTCTCAGAACCCTGGCCCTGAGAGCCTTCAGTATCCAGCTTCACTTGCGCATGTCCATTATCGTGCTGGGTCAAGTCAGGTTGGTCCCCAGCCAGGGAACACAAGAACAGCAATCAATGGAAGGTTGCTTAGAAGTGGCCCCTGGGCAGCATCCAAGCTTGCTCTGGTGACTCCTGAGTTCCTCATGTCCACGCTGTGGGTATGAACAGGAATGCCAGGGCTTCCAGACTGAAACACTGGGTGGGGGCGGGGGCAGAGAGACACAGGCATTGGCTAGTTGACTGTTAAGGTTTGTTTTAAACCCAGGATTCTTATGAGCCCTTAAAAATTCAGTTGGGAGGCAGTGTTAAAACTGCTAGATCCTCCTCTTCCTCCTCCTCCTGCGTTTTTCCTCCTCCTCCTCCACCACCTCCATTTTTCCTCCACCTCCTACTCCATTTTTCCTCCTCCTTCTCCTCCTCTTTTCCTCCTTTTTTCTTCCTCCTCGTTTCCTCCTCCTTTCATCCTTCTCCTTTTTCCTCCTGCTCTTTTCCTTCTTCTTCTCCTCTGCCTCCTTCTTCTAAACGTGTTAATTACACAGCCTGATCATAAATGGCTTAAAGGTAGAAACTGGGTTATATATTTCTAGGTTCCCTCACCTGGCCCAGTTTAATACCTTCCACAGAGTAGATTGCTTCAAAAGAGGAGGTGAGTTAAAAGGTGAGTTTTCAAACAAATGAAGCTGCAGATGCTTCTGCAAATGTAAGCCTTAATTAAAAATTAGCTGTGCTTGAAATAAACTTAGAGGTCTCTGGTGACACCCTCTGAAGCAAGGATGTTTATTTATGGAGCATCTGAATTCAATACTGGAAGTCATAATCCAGTTACATTTTTCTTGGAAACCACCATCCTTTAAATAAAATTGCCAAATCATATACGTTGCTGAAGACCAGTCACTTACTGAGGGCTAAGGAAGATAGGCGCCAGAGAGAGAGACCTCTCCATAACATGCATTTCTCTCTGTAAGAAAAAGGTCAATAGCAGCGTTGTTCCTGAGAGGGCATGGCAAATGTCCAACTTTAATTAAAGAGGGAAGCACCTGCCTCATTCCCCGAAGCCTGAACTTGCACACACAGTATGAAAGTGGGGCACGGCTGTTCAGGAAATGGCTTTATGTTGTGTCACACGACCTAAGCACCTCAAGGTTCACCCTGAGTTTCTGCTTCATTCTCTCATTCAGCAAAAGTTCTTTGGCGCCCGCTACAGGTGAGACAGTAAGCTTGGGGCTGTGGGTACAGCAGTGACTGAAGGCACCTGGAGCGCTGTCCCCACCGCGCACACATTCTAACGGTGAGGAAGACTCAGAACCAATGAGCAGATAGACGAGTGACCACAAAGTGGGTTAGATGGTGAGAAGCCTTTGGGAGAAAAATATAACAGGATAAAGAGAACACAGTGGGCTGGAGGTGGAGGGGAGGGTTTGGGACAGTACATTGGAGCTCAGGGAAGACCTCAATGAAGAGGTGACCTTTAGGAAGAGACCAGTGAGAAGTAAGTGGGAAATCAAGTGGTTCTTAGGGACGAGTCTTCCTGGCAGGGAGAGTAACCAGTGCAAAGGCCCTGAGGGGGGCATGTGCTCGGGTGACATGTGTGTCACCCAACAAGTGGGCAGTGAGCGCAGCCAGGAAGCAAAGGATAGAGGGGAGGGGAGAAGAAAAAGGAGCCAGGCAAGGAGGGAATTGAATCCAAGGCCACTTCGAGGATTTCAGTTCCTATGCTGTCCAGGGAGACAGGAGCCCCTGGAGGGAGCTGTGCCAAGAAGCTATATGCCGGCTGCTATGTTGAGGACAGACACCACCAGAAGAGGCGACACTGACGCGGAAGGTTGGATGGGGACTCCTAATAATGGAGGTGAGAGATGACGCCCATGTAGACCAGGGTGAAAGTATCATGGCTGAGGCTGTAGTTAGATCCTGGATTGGTTTTGCATGTCAAGCTGCCAGGATTTGTTGATGTATCAGAGGTGAGATGTGTGAGACAAGAGTTAAAGGTTTTTGGTTTGAGCCAATGGATCCATGGCTTTAACATTTATTCAAATGAAAAGTCTGTGGGGAGGGACAAAAGCGAGAATGACCCACGGACACTATTTTGATGCTACAGGCAGCAAGGACAATCATTAATGCCGGGCTCTCAGCAGGGGCCAGAAGATGAGCCTGTCCATGGGAAGAAGGGCTGGGCCTTCCAGGAGAGCACAGATCATGTGTGTCCTGCGCAAAAGGAGGGAAGCTAGAGTAGGTGGCAAAGGCAAGGGCAAGGATGCGCTCACTGAAGTATGCTGCTTTAAATCCTGCAGGGGAGTCTCTCAAGGGCTCTCACCTGACTAACGTTACGTTCTGCAGGGGTCTCACATGTAGCTATGGGTGCACCTTGTACTCCTAGCAATGGCTTTAAGCAGATTCATTTTCTTTTCTTTTCTTTTCTTTTTTTGAGACTGAGTCTTGCTCTGTTCCCCAGGCTGGAGTGCAGTGGTGTAATCTCAGTTCACTGCAACCTCTGCCTTCTGGGTTCAAGAGATTCTCCTGCCTCAGCCTCCTGAGTAGCTGGGATTACAGGTGTGCACCACCACACCTGGCTAAGTTTTGTATTTTTAGTAGAGACGGGGTTTCACCATGTTGGCCAGGCTGGATGCAGATCCATTTTCTATTCCTCAACTCCACATGTATTTGCAGGATAACTCACCTGCCCAAGAACCACATGGGACTATCCTTTGCCTCCATTTTTACTTCTCCCTTTCCACTTGACAAAGAGGGGCACATTTCTGTTATCTTACCTCAACTCCCATCTTGGGACACTGACCCAAGAACCAAACAAAGGATCGATTCAAGTATCAGCCTCTGTGTCTGTGTGAATTACCTTACAAATTGGGTGGCAAACACTTTCAAAGGTCCGGTGGGTTTTAATTCTTTTAATTCTTTGTTTTCAACAAAACTGAAGGAGAAACTAATCAAGCTGTCAGCTGATAACATTTGATGAAAACTACATTATTTTTGGCATATAATCTAGAAGAAGTACAAAGATTGAGTAACATTGCTTTAACAAAGTGGCTTTCATGTCCAACTACTCATGTTACTACACCTAGTTAAAAAACGGCAACAGAATTGATGTGAAAACTATCATTTCTCCATTCAAGTAATAATAAGTCATCTGGGGATACATGAACTAATTTAAAACAAACTCATCTTGGGCAGATATAAATTGCCAACAAAAATTTATGTTTTATAATTACTTAAAAATTTAATTTATGTCATTTTGATGAATTATAATACCAATAACAACAGCAAACTTAAATCAATCCAAAAGAAACAAAATTTAATACTTATGGTGTAAAGGAATAATTCTTGTGTAAATATTTACATTTGAAAAAACCAAGGCACAGTGATTAATAAAAGACTTTCGGCCCAGCATGGTGGCTCATGCCTGTAATCCCAGCACTTTGGGAGGCCGAGGTGGGTGGATCACCTGAAGTCAGGAGTTCAAGACCAGCCTGGCCAACATGAAGAAACCCTGTCTCTACTAAAAAATACAAAAACTAGCCGGGCGCGGTGGTGCATGCCTGTAATTCCAGCTACTTGGGAGGCTGAGGCAGGAGAATCACTTGAACCTGGGAGGCAGAGGTTGCAGTAAGCCAAGATTGCGCCACTCTACTGCACTCCAGCCTGGATGAAAGAACAAGACTCTGTCTCAAAAAAAAAAAAAAAAAAAAAAAAAAAGAGAGAGAGACTTTCAAACATAAAACTATATTACATTAGGATAGAATTCCCTATAGAAAGCAGAATAGAAATGCATTCGCAAAGAAAAAAGGGACTATGTTAAACATCTGACAGTTTTAAAAAAGGCTTGTTCATATGGTGTTTGAATGAGATGGGCACCAAATTATTATGCTATTTTGATTCCATTTAACATAGAGACTGACCGTTCCATTTTTCAGTGTCAATATTTACAACTGGATGTTAAGTGGCATCATTTGCAATTAATTAAATTTAGGTTAGTATTGCAGATGTCAAGTTAAAAATCTACAAATGATAGGCAGCATTTCAAGATTCTTACAAGCATCACTAGAGCAGAGTACGAGGGCCTCTGGTTTAGGAACACTCCACCTGATTCAAACATGCAGCTCTGGAGGCCACAGAGGGCAGGGCTGGAACTCCTGAGTCCTGGGGACTGGCTATGGTGCAGGTTGTGGACATCTACATGCAGCCCTGTATCTTCTTACTTGTCTTGCCTGAAGTGCTTCTGAAGTGTCCCCACATTACCCTGTCCTATGTGCTGAGCTTGTGCATGTGTTGAGCACTGCAGACTGTAGTGTCATACACCCAACATTCATTGTTGGCAGCTGTGGAGTTGGTGTGACAGCCATGGTTATGTTTTTTTTTTCTAAACAGGACCTCTCAGAAGCAAGCATCTCAGGTATCAGGACAAAAATCTTGGGTGCAAGATCTTGCAGGCCCATGGGTGAGATTGTCATTCTCTTAACTTACCATTTGCAGCCAAATGTTGGTGGTTAAAACTTGGTTCTTCTCATCCTTAAAAAAAAAAAAAAAAAAAAAAGCAGCAGCATAAATATGATATGGTTTACAAAAGAAAGAATGAGACAATTATTCACGTGGGGATCTGACTGTTGGGATCATTATGTGTGGAAATTAGAATGCACCAAGCACTTCCAACATATGCAAGCAGCATTTCCCCAGAGTTAAGCTTTTCTATTTATTCCAAAGTAAGACACATTTATTATACAGCATTTTAAAAAGATGGAAAAGTATAAAGAAGAAAATTAAAACTCTGCAACCTTACCATCCAGAAATGATGTCTGCTAATGATTTAGCTATTTATCTTTGTATTTTTAAATAATTCACAGACTAAAAAAAAACCATAAAAGTAGGTGAAAATCCAAGTTTTTAAAGTCAGGTTTATTTCCAAAATATATACAGTTTTAAACAAATACAAATATGCTATGCCTCCCTCCCCCAGGAAAGGGGCCCTGGCCCTGTGTGGAGCTGCTGCACCCTGTGTGGGTGGTGAAATGTGGGCCGTGACTCTGACTTGTCCCTGCAGATCTGGACTTTTCTCTCATCCTCTAACTTCTAGGGGGAACATCAGGCTTTGAAATACACCTGAAGGTAAAGCCTACCTAGGTGAGTAAACTAAAGGTGAGAAAGATGAGGTGACTTTAGAAGCAGCCATTCAAACTTGGATCTCTCGGACTCCAGAGCCTATTTTCCTACATTTCCAAAACACCTCCCTGAGTTCTGCCTCCAGCTAAGCCTACGTGCTAACCAGGGAGCTTGGATAGTGTACCAGCTGTGACTTTGCTCCAGCACAGGACGTATAGAGAAGAGACCCGTCAAGACCGGCCTTTCCAAATGGAAGGCAACTTGCATTTTAGTATGGCTGACCAAGCCCAATATGGCTCAGCATAAAACAACGTGAAAGGAGGCAAATGAGTGAATTCTGTACAATAGTTATACTGTGAATGTTGTGATTCAGTATGAAATAACTCCAACCCAAAGGGCTCTGTGCATTAGCAGTTGACACCCTCTCCAGAGAAAATATTAATTATTGCCCCTGTGAAGATGTGAACAGGAGCTGAAACCTCAAGCTCCTGCAACAGAATCTACTTGGCCTGGTTCAGCGATGGGCAGTTTCCAAAAAAAAAAAAAAGACCCAAAGGCAGAAAGAACGTGGCATCTACTGAGGCGTGTCAGTGGGCAGGGATGCAGATGAAAAAAGTGTTGCCTCTCATTAAAATGAAAATGCGTTGAGCATGTAAGAAGCTGGCAGGGACACTCTGATGCATCAGTGCCCCAGCCCAGTCGCTCACATGTTGGGCACCTCTACGGTGAGATGGGCCAGGTGGGTCAAATCCCACAGAGAGGAGAGGGCTGCCTAGGGAGGGACATGGGATGATGTTTCAGGGGACCCCAGGCCAGGGGCAATGGCCACAAGACGCTGAACATTTATTCAGTTACAGGAAAAAATATATCCCATTTTCCTAATAAAATGTGCCAGGAGTTTTCGGTGGGAAAAGTTGTAGAGCTAACATGTCTCTGCACTCTGCACTGAGCAAATGATCCCCAACAGAGCTATCCATTTAAGTAGCTGGAGCACTCCAGTTCCAGTTCAATCTCCAATATTGTTGGGAAGTGTTGTTAAACTCTTCAGAATGTATATCTGTTACCTCAACTTATTAAGGAGTTGTTGTTTTTAATGGACTTAAAATTAGAAAGGGTTCCATTGAGGTGCCTTTCCTTCTTTTAATTGCATGTGTGTCTTCATCTGCTGAGAGAAAGGCTTCTGTGGTTTGGGAGCTCAATTACTACCAATCTAATTAAAAGGCTTTCTTCTTTCCAACATTCTAACAGAAACCCCATTAGAGGAACACTGAATTTCAGCGGTGTGTGGCAGCTTGGGACCAAGTACAGCTTTTCAAACTGTAATCAACAAGCAGCAGCCACCACCACCTGAGCATGCAGGGATGCCCATTAGGGGAGCCCCCCACAAAGACTCAAGAGGGAGAGAGAAGGGCATGAGGAACCATGCTCCCAGAACAATCTCCCTCCTCCTAGCACCTGTACGGGCCACACATGGTCTGAGTCTCTTGGCTCTCTGTCTGCAGTGACAAGGTCCCTCACCTCCTTCCCATCCCCACTGTGCAGCCTGCTGCCCCTATGCACACCGCAGGCACACACACACACAGAGGCTGTCCTCTACTCATCTTTAGACCAGACTTTCTGACCGCCGATACGATCAGATCACCCTCCTCCAACTGCACTGCCCAAAGGATCAAGTCAAAAGTCTTGAGTGAAGTGCACAAGCCATTGCTACAAGCCATGGTCCAGCCAAGTTTTCATTCATTCATTCATTCATTCATGCAACATTTATGGAACATCTCCTGTCCCCAGCATTATGCTTGCCTGACGTGTGCAGTGGAAATTAATATTGCTCCTGAGCTCCTAGAATAAAAATTGTGCGTGTGTGTGTGTGTGTGTGTTGGTGGGGGCGGGGAATGAGGTAGGATTATACAACACAATAATGATACACTTATAACAACCTGTAACAACAAATGGTAACAAGGGTCACAGAGGGAGGGAACAGGGTCCCTACAAGGAGGAAGACAGGGACATGGACTTCACCCAGAGTGACAAGGGGTGGTGTCCTGGGGTTGAGCCTCTGATTTAACAACCTGTAACCCTGCAATACCACAGTATGTGGATCTCCTCACACCCATCATGTGCACCCCAGCCCTGAGCCTTTGTCCCTTGGTCCCCATGACTAGCCCTGCTTGCCAAGGTTCTATCCAGGCATTTACTGTCTCCAGGCCCCCATGTCTGTGACCACAGATGAGAGGCAGCGGCTGCAGGCCTCAGTCTCCTCATTTGCAAAATGGCTCCTGACTGATCCCTTTCCCCTTTCTCAAAGGGGTCCTGTGGGACTCTGGCAGCAATAGGTCTGCAGGTGTTGTGTCTCCTCCTGCAAGACCCTGACAGGCTGGCAAGAAAAACCCTCCCTCCCCAGGGGCTACTCCAAAAGCAGGTTCAGGGTCCATCTCTCCCCTCCCCTCTCCCCACAGCCTTTTCCCTCCTTGGTCCCTGGCAAGCCTGTCCCAACCCTGCTGCACTAAAGCTGAGCTCAGCCCCCTGCTTCCCGACAGGCTTCTGCACAGAGCACCTGGAGCAGGACTTCAGCTCTGCACTCAACTTCCTTGCCTCAGGGTTTGCATTTGGCCACACAGGCTGCAGGTGAACTGGGAGACCTGGGGATGGTAGCCACACCTCTGAGTGTGGAAAGTCCCCAGATGGGATTATAGTTCCCACATGGCCCTCTGGCCCCCAGCAGAAGGACATTCAGGGCAGGATGCAGGGGCTCCACTCCCACTGCCCAGAATTTACCTAGGGACAAAATCTAGCTCCTCACCCAGCAGGGAAGTTTCCTTCTCTTTCACCCAAATGTCCTCCACTGCTGCCAGAGCCCCCAGCCTGCCATGCAGCACTTGAGCCTGAAACCATGAATCAGCAGGCAGAGCTGCCTACAGCAGTCACTCCCTCCAAGTTGGAGGCCACCCTGGTCAAACTAGGGGGTTCCTGCAAGAGAGGGGATAGAAACATCCAATCCTGGCCCAGAGGCCTATGAATAAATACACAGGTTTAGTCTCCCAAAGAACAGTATTCCACAGGAACCTAGGGGCCTGCAATTAAGTAGCACACACTCTATGTTTTATTCCGTTTGGACGCTTATAACAAAATATTATACACTGGGTATCTTATAAAACATAGAAGTTTGTTTCTCACAGTTCTGGAGGCCGGAAGTCCATGATTAACCTGCCACTATGGCTGAACCCTGGTGTCTGGTGGGGGCTGGCTTCCCGGATCATAGGCAGCCACCTTTTCACTGTGTCCTCGCATGGTGGAAGGGGCGAGGGAGGTCTCTGGGGCCTCATATATAAGGGGACCATCCATCATGACTGCACCCTCATGGACTAATCACCTCCTAACACCATCGCCTTGGGGATTCAGATCTCAACATATACATTTGGCGGGGGACAAAAACATTCAGACCATTGCACTGTGAAAGTGGGCTTCAGCAATTCCAGATCCTCAGGCTGCCCCCTGGCTATTCCTGCCCTCCCCAACTGGGCAGGAGGGCATGGAGGAGCAGAGTCCACAGAGGCAAAAGACCCTGGGGCTCCGGACTCATCAGGCAATTGGCTTCTGGGCATTTCAGTGTTCTCTCCTCCGAAATAGGGATGCAAACAGCTGCCCTGTCTGCTACAGCAGGTGGGAAGAGGAGGAGCATGCTGCAATCTGTGCAGTGTCACTCAGTGCCAGTGGCTGTCGCCACATAGCTACTCACACACATGGCTCTCCTGCAAGATCTACACTCTCTTCTCCGTCTCAGATGAAGACAGGAGGAGGCAGGGTCCCCAGCCCACATAATCCCAGAAGGCCGGTGTGGCAAGGCACCCTCAAGTCAACACGCCTAACTCCCTTCATTCTTTTCCAATCTGAGCCCTTCAGTTGAGAGCGCACTTTAAGTGATTGTGCTTTTTAAAATCAATCTCTCTGAATAATCGTGTATATGGTTCAGAATCCAACTGTCGTGGTAATGCATAATGTGCTATCTTGCATTTCTGCAGCAATTTTTCTTTTGTGAATTACTGAGTAACATCATTCAATGTGATTTTACAGAGCTCCCATCACATTATTTTTTTTTCTTTGTGTAGATGCTAAGAAAAAAAAGCAAACACATAACAATAGACCTAACCACCACCATTTCTAAATTCTTGTTTGCAGAGAAAATAGCTGCATAATATAAATTCATATTTGTGTAGCACTCTAAAGTTTATAACAAGGGTGACTTCTTTTATCTAATTTAATACTCTTTACATCCACTATATTTTTTTCTTAGTTTTACAGCATAACAAACTGAGGTTTTCCCTGAGTCAGCAAGATACTAGGTCTGACAAAAGACTCATATTCAGAATAAGAAATAAACTCCTAAAAATCAATCAGAAAAGGGCAGGCAATCC